AGCCACCGAATGCTCGATGACAATCCCAACAATACTCATTGAATGCTTGTGACCTAAATTCACAATTATTATTTATAGGAATTGTCTTCGTTGATAATAAAAAAATTGAGCTCATAATTTTATGATATCAACAAGTAGTCTAATAAATGTTACATTCCTAATAGAAAATAGGCGGACATCAGACCATCTAGTAGAAGAGTCGACTAATACCATAAAATAGTGAGATGGTCTACATGGTAGATATATCAGCACACATATATCTACATGAATTATTTTCAGGAAAGTTAGAGTTTCAATATTGACATTTATAGTGGAAAGTCTAATAACTAACTTGTATTGTGAACAAGCAACGCATGAATAATAACTTGGTACAAAAATCTTCTGGTTCTTTAGTGGGTGTCCAATTGAATTGTTAATTATTTGACACATCATTATAAATTCTAGATATCCAAATCGATCATGCCTAAGTATAAAACTTATTGGATCAACGAATATCGGGTTCGCGATAATGCTTGATTCAATCTTTTTTTTTTTTTATCAATGTATAGTACATACCAAAAGGGAGTTTCGAGAGTTTATCTTTTATCTGCTTTTGGCCAAATACAAAAGAGTTATGAAAAGATATTTGATATTATATTCTTTCATTGTCTCTATGTGATATTCATTGCAACAAATATTTTTAAAACGAAGCAAATTTTTTCTGAATTTGTTGGAATAAAGTGCACTGTTAATATATTTTGTATTATTTGATAAAGTAATACAAGCTCTTCCGTGCCTTCAATATATTTTATGCATTTAATATCATATTAACATTATTTATTGCTAATATTAAATCCAAAAAATACTTTTTATTATCTAGCCCATCGCTTCCAATCAAATGATCAATATTGCTATTTGGGCTGCAAAAAAAAAAAAAAATTAGAGACATCCAATTGAATCACATCAATTGGACCGTCAAAATCAGTAAAATTTCCCTACACTTTTTCTTTTTCCATGATTGATTTTTGACAGAGATTCATAAGATGTTTTGTTATACAATAAGTACATACTTAATACCCTTTCATTCCACATCTAAAACAACTTTCTTCGTTCTCCTTTTTCAACGAGTAATTTTTATCTGCTTTGTACTTTTTAAAATTATTACCTTGTTATTGATAGTTTTGTCGATTATTTCATTCGTAATCTCGTGCACCTCCAAGTCCGTGTTCAATTCTTAATATTACATTTGTTTCGGATAATGTAGTATCATTTGCTTCATGAAATAGTACAGAATCAATTAGACGTTATTCATAATTTTTCACCAACAATTTATTATTTTGTTTAGATACCAACATAAAAGATATGAATTCTAAGCACACTTTGAAATCATACTCACGATATTACTGTTGAATGAGCATATTCGAGATATGAAAGGTGAAAAAAATTTCTCCAACATATATTCATTAGTGATTTTCTTCTCCAAACATGGGCTAAAATTGTAATATTTTACTCTTCAAGAACAAGTGATATTTCCTTAGAATATTAATAATGTTGTACAATTTTAAAGAGAAATAACAAATTACTATTTAGAAATATAAAATTTTAGCAGGGAATTTTGTAGTAGAAATGTTAATATTTATAGAATCGTGCTTCTTTAAGAGCAACATCGCGACATATTATTGATTAAAATTTGCACAATGAAAATGTATACATTAATAATTTTCATGCATAGTAATTCAAAGATATATTGGATAATCATAATTAAAAAAATGACAAATAATGATTACCAGCTTGTGTAGAGCTATTCAAATAATGACGTGCACATAAAATAATACATTAATGACTTGTTCAGTAGTGATTATGAGAGAGAAAAATGGATTACATCTACAATAGAATAAGTCAAAAATGATGATTCAAAAAATTAATTTTCGGGGTGAAAAATAAGAACCAAAGTAACAAAGTTCCAGTCACTATGCACAAGTAATCACTTCATGTAATGTACTATTGAAGGGCACATTTTTCGAAAATCACTTTTCAGATAGTTGTAATATAAAACTGTTCAACAAAATCATTATGTGCACAAGTGATATGGCAATCATAATTATAACAAATAAAAAGTTTAAACATAAAATAGGATAATGACAAGCACAATTCATAAGTGGCGTCACAATTATTGCATGTCTGTTTCAAGTGGCCTACGATAGATTTTTTTCTTATATTCAGATCTTGGAAACGAAAATAATGATGGTTGAGATTTGAATTAAAGCGAATTGTACTCATAACGTGTTATAAAATAAAGAGAAAATGAGAGTAAAATATAAAGAAATCAAAGGCTTTTTTGGTATTTTATTAAAAATCAAAACCTCATATTTATAAGAAAGAATAAGGGCCGAAACAAATACAATAATCAAGGTTGCATGAGTATAATGGTAATTTATTAACATATAATTTATAAATGTTAGTTATTTTTTATGTGAAATATATTATTCATTAACAACAATATCTGAAAACTTGGAAATATATTATAGGGAAATGCAACTTGTCCCAACTCTGGGACCGACCAAAATCCAGGGTGCCCTCTATTTTTGGGTCGGTCCCCGAGTTGGGACCTGTAGCGTGATTTGTAAATATCTTTTTTTTTTTAATTAGTTATTTGTAAGCCAAATGAAAACTTGCCAATCCATCCAAATTTCCAGCAGACATGGGATATCATTTACGTAGATCTTGCCAATACATCCAAATTTCCAGCAGACATGGGATCACATTTACGCAGGTGGATATTTTTTTATTTATTTAAAAAGTTAGTTAATATCCCAATTATGCCAAAAGATCGATAATTAATCTATAATTTCTTGTTGAATACTAGTTATTTAACTAATTAATCTCACCTAATGAGTCAATGTAATAGTTGGTAGGTGGGCAGCTGTTAGGTGTGATACGAGCGATTCTGCCATCGCCAATATAATAAAGTATTTGACGATTTTGCGTCCACATTCCAAACCGACACAAGAGGACAAAACATTGCATGACGCGACGATAAATGAACAAATTCACATAATTAATCGAAGTTGTCCGATATCAATTTTCAGAAAGGAAAAAGACGCTTGTACACCATGATGTACAGCGGGGGGTGGGGGGTCCATATGAATGAAATAATTGTGGGCCCTCTCATTGTGAAGGAGCCGAAGGGGTGTACAGCTAAGAGCTGTACACCAAGCATCACTCTTTTAGAAATCATATTTATTGATACAAGAAGTAGGATCGACGGGAGTATGTGTAGGACAATACACTTCTTGATGCAAGGATAAATAAACAAATTCAATTCATATAGTTAATCGAGGTTGCCATTTTATTGATTTTTTAGAAATCATATTTATTGACACAAGAAGGGTTGACGGGAGTGTAGATAGGACGATAAACTTCTTGATGCGAGGAATAAATAAATTCATATAATTAATCGAAATTGTCCAATAAAAAGATGTGTCATATTTTCCGACATAAGTAATGTCGACGTGAGTATAGATGGAGGACAAAACATTTTCTTAAAACGAGGTTAAATAAAACAAATCTATATAATTATTCAGGATTGTCTCAATAGAAAGATCGTATCTTCTTCTATATATTATATTTTTGGTTGTTGCTATCTTCATTTATAGGTGTCATGTTTTAGAATTTAAAGATGAATATTCATTAAATTAATTTAGTGTGCATGATTGATTTATCCTGAATGTTTATTCACGGTACATATGTCCACTTGAATGTCGCTAAGCATTTAAATAACTATTTGATAATGACTTATTTTAATTTATTTCAACACGATACAAAATTTAGTTAACAAAATGGCCTTGAAATGTTGCACTCGATATATTGCAACTAGTCAAATACAAAATAAGTCGTGTGTGGAAGATATAAATAATTATTGTGCGTTAAGAAAGTTAAACTATTGATTTTCAGTCTATTTTTTCCCTAGTAAGTCGATCTTCAAATTAAAAAAAAAAAAAATACAACTGTACAAATTAATGGTTGTTTGTAATGGTAGAAATAATTCTAATTTCCATTAAATAGTAAGGTGCCAAACCATCTTAAGATTAAAATTTTAATCTAATTCTAATGGTCAGTGGTGTCAAAATAGGCAGGCAGTCAGGCCACGATGATCTGACTCATTAAAAAATTTCATTGAAAACCAACCAAGCCTATTTTGAGACCATACACGCCCTTGTTTGAGCCTCATTTTGGGGAAAATAATGTATTTTAAATATTGAAGAAAATATGTGATTAAAAATTAAGGAAGAATTCTGGCCTTACGTGTAATATTATTTTAGAATTAAGTCAAAGTGATCGAATTGGTTGACAGAAGAGATAATTGACCCTCACATTTTGTGCGTGGGTCCCAAGTGAATAAAAAAATATCGATCTCCCAATGTGTGTGTTCTGTCATCCCCTATGTTAGTGTAGCAAAATTTATTATTTTATTGAAAAATATATAGTTGAAAATAAATTTTTAGAAGAATAGATTCAGGACAGTTCTTTTTTCAATTATTATAGACTAAAAAAGATAGGCAGGCCTAGTCCCACCTAGCCAGTCCGCAATATTGATGGGTTTGCGTGATGGTCAAACTCAAGATTTCGAAGATGGCCTACACACATGTAGATCGATCTAGATCAAACCATTCATTTTAACACCCTTGCTAATGGTCACTTAATAAATTTTATATAAATATTCAAATCAATAATTGGCTCTAAGGACCATATTGAAATTATAGCGAGTAAATTATATTTACAATTGTGACTTTAGGTATACATATATTGATTCTCACGTGGCTTAAGCAATATATATGCGCCTGTTTGGGAGTGATTTTGAGAATTGATTTTTTGATCGCTAGGAGAAAACTGGGATCCACTTGTGAGAAAAGAAATCAAATATGACGGCTAAAATAGTGAAATAACGGTCAAAAAATCAATTTTTTTGGTAAAAAAATTGAGCCCAACATGACAATTCTTGATTTCTTGAAGCACCAAAATGCACAAACTATAATAATTTTTTTTCGAAAAAGCTAATTTTAAGTTTTTCTCGAACAAAGATACCATGCTTATTATTAAGATTGTCGAGTGAAATATGCTTATCATAGACAACTATATTGCTCACCAACATTCGTACAAACTAATATCGACGCGAAGCCTGAAATACACATCCCCTTCAAAAGCATCAGTCATCAAAGTGGCAATCCCTCTAGCCATGAAAAAGTCACCAGTTCCACCAATGACAGATATTTCCCTAGTCTTGTTCATCAATGGATCAGCCCCAGCAAAGTTCAAGGATCCAACATGCTTAGTAGAATTGAACAAGAAGGAGAATCCGAGCCATGCACCGTATATAATTCTCTGATCGTACAAATACGTCCCTTGTGCCCGACCAACTGGGGGTGAGTGCAAATTGTTGTCTAAGGTAATGGGATCGTCGAACACAACTAGGTCACCAAAATTGTATGGTTGTGCCATGGCAGTCTTGTTGCCCCATGCCGGGGACCCGACTATGGCAGCAGTCGCATTGTTGTAATTATCCCCTTTGAAAAGTATGTCGTGAAAATAGAACACCAAATGGTTGCAAGGCCGGCGAGGGCGGCGCTTTTGGCCGTAGGTGACGGAGGAGGTGGAGGTGAGGAAGCAAAGGAAAAGAGCTACAATTTGTGTTTTAGAGACCATAATTGGTTAAACACAAGTGGGGGAGGAGACAAGTGTTGATTTACGTTGCTCAAGTGTTTAGTCTCATTATATAGGGTCAGATCTTGGCGTGGGTAGGGTTGGTGAATGATTGTAGCTTTATGTTAAAAATTCATATATAAAGTGGACCATCTTTTAACATTGATTACTTTTCTTCTATCCCAATCGATCAAGAATTATTGAGAGATTAATCTAGCCCGTTAGTTTTTCATTATTTTCAAAATGTATTTTTTTCTCTCTTATTTTTAACCACACATTCTTTAATAAAATAATATTACACGTAAATTCAAAATATTTTCTTATTTTTTAACCACACATTTTCCATCAAATCACTATTATAAAATACATTTTTGATAAATAATGGGAATCAAACATGCCCCTTTTCATACATCTCTTTTGAGGCTCTATTATCATCTTTGACCTTTTAATTTCTATTGACTCAAAAAATATAGGGAAAATTGCAGCTGAGGTACCAAACCTTTCGTTTATTAGCAGACTTTGCCCAAACCTTCATTTTGTGCCAGCAAAGGTCCCAAACCTTTCATAAATATGTAGTCGAAGTCCAGATGGATGGAAACCATCCATTTGACCGTTAGTTGACCAATAAAATTGAATTTTAACCAATTTTGACTGAATTAGAAAGGGTAAAATAGTAACTTGATAATTACCATATTAAATAAATTGAAAAAAATATCAAAAAATCAAAAATTAAGAAAAGAAATTAAAAAAAAGGGTTGTCTTCTTCAACCATCCCACCTCAACCCACCCACCCCATCTTTTTCCCTAAACCAGAGCTTAAGGTCTCATATTCATTCCCGACGATGAAATTAGAAAGGGAAAACGAGTCAACTCGGAACTCGGGGAGCTGGGGTCGGAGGACAAGCCAGACAATAAAAGTGATGATACCCAATATAATAATAAGCCCAATACCAAAGGCGAAGATGCGGTGGAGACAAGTGGCACAACGGGTGGAATATGGGTCCTGGTTGTAATTCTGCTTGTTGTAAGGGTTATTCTGGTAACTGTAGTAGTCGGTGGTTGGAGGAGGGGCTGCGTAAGGGTAACCCGTGCTGGACAGAGTTGGATTGGTGTTGACGGCGTAACCGTTGGGATAGGAATTATGGGCCGAGGCGGGATAGCCTGTGACAGGTCTATTCGGGTCTTCCATAGTCTTAGATTATAGAAATATTGTCTAGTCTTCCGAGGTGGTGGAATTGATGGGGGTCGACGGATTTGGGCGGAGATGGGCAGCCGAGGTTGGGTAGTCGATGGCTTCAGATTATGGTTGGGGTGAGGTGGGGGTGCAGTCAGGGAAGAAGATGAAGATTGACTATTTTCTTTTTTCTTTTTTAGTTTAATTTAATTGTTAATACTATAGAAAAATAATGTTAATTCTAAATATATCATTTTACCCTTTTTAATTCAGTCAAAATTCAATTTTATTGGTCAACTAACGGTCAAATGGACGGTTTCTATCCATCTGGATTTCGGCTGTATATTTATGAAAGGTTTGGGACCTTCGCTGGCACAAAATGAAAGTTTGGATAAAGTCAGCTAATAAACGAAAGATTTGGTACCTCGATTGCAATTTTCCCAAAAATATATTAGATTAGCCATATTTGTCATGTGCATATGTGTATACACATCGCTTAAATTCAAAAATAAACCACTTGGGTATTGTAATTATAATACAAATTTTAGTTAATCTCTCATTAATTCTTGATAAATTTGAAAATAATAATCCTTCGCGAATTGTCTTTCTTTGTCAAGCTTGTTGGGACATTCCTCTCAGGCACTGAATAATAAAAGTAGACATGATGATTAATACGTTTGCTACGCCTCTTTTGAAGAGGCGCTAGGTCATCAACCACGTGACTGCTATGAGGAAAATCATCAAGGTCCACACTCAATCAAACTGCTTCAAAATAGTTTGTTTATATTTCAATCTTTGCAAATCGTTTTAAAAAATAAATAAATCTGAAAATAAATTCATTTAAATTTTATCCAACCCAATTAAAATTGAACACATCGAAATTAAAAATATAAATCCATTTTATACATAACACAATTAAACTCAATCCTTAAATAGATAATTATATATCCCAATGATCAAAATTTTCTTATTTTTTTAGTTATTTTTTCTTATATTTCATTGGTAGTTGTATTTTTTATTATTATTATTTTTTTTGTTTAAATTCGTGCCAAGCTCCCTTAAATTTTTAGCGTACAATAATTTTTGTTTATTTACGTCTCAATTTCTGTAGGGTCACGCAATTAATTATTTGCATTTGGAAAGAAAGTATGTTGGTCACATCAAAATTATTTTCAAATTATCATCAAAATAATTAACCTATTTATTTATCACTAAGGAAAAGTTAAATTATGTAATTGACCTCGAATTTTGTACATTCAATGTGGCCAACAAATTTCAAGGCCTCCCACATCCACGCAAACGTACTTCTTGTATATTTGGACAAATAGTTAACCACACGCAGCTTCCTCCAGTGGGGTTAGAGTTGGCCACGCGTACTCCAACGGTCAAATTAGTTTGGGGAATAAATATAAAAGTATGAAAGAGCCTTAGATGCATGCATCCAATGTAAGGAGATTCATTCTGGGGAGAGAGAGAGATGCGATGAAGTTCTAAACTAAGAATCTAAACTTGTATTACCTTGAAATGACACTAAATATAAGCGTTTATCGTAAAAGAAGGTAAATAAGAGTACTTGGATGAAGAGACACGTGACCTCATCCGTGTGGTTGGTGCCTCTTGTCGAAGACTTCAATCAATTATAAACATTAAATACTAATACCATTTTATTATCCATAATATCTAGCTTGCGACTTTAGACTTGATTTGATTTGTTGAAAATGATGGCGGTAAAAGTGATTTGTCGCATCAATTACATATCAAAGATTGCTTAGCAGATCTCGTGCCAAACTCCTTTCGTGGCTATTGGGTGGTATTGAGCATCTCTTACCCCAAAAGCTAGCGTGGTATTAAGCATCTCTCACCCTAAAAGCTAGTTCAAGAGGTGAGGCTTTCTCTCACACTTATAAATTGAATACCAACGACATCCACAACTAATGTGGAGCAACCTCAACAATCTCCCCCTCACACATTGGGTTTTGTGGAAGACCAAACACGTCTTCCCCTACACATCGGGCCCTGCGAGAGACCAAACACGTCTCTCCTTACACAATGAGGCCTGCGGGAAACCAAACCAGTCTCCCCCTCACACAAGCCTATATTTCGGTGATTGTTGGGTTGAAGACTTATTTATAAATCAGACTCTGATATCAATGTTGGATGGTATTGAGCCTCTCTCACCCCAAAAACTAGCTCAAGAGGTGAGGCTTTTCCTCATACTTATAAACTGAATACTAACTCTATCTACAGCCGATATGGGACAACTTCAACAGTATCCTCGCCTCCCCCATAGTTCTGTTCTTCCCAATGAGGTCTAATAATCTAATGGGGCCAATGGGTTCGGTCAAAACTACCTCGTAACCCATATTTACTTGCCATGTAAGATATTTGGAGCCTTACATATGAGGCGTAACATAAGTGAAAATAAAAATTTACTTAAAAAGTAAAGTTTAGTTACTTTTAAGATTAGGCTAACATTTCGAAGTTCTAAAAGTTTACATCACTTTGGGTAGATGGAGGTAGGTGCAGTCAGTCTTGAAGTCAACCATGGAGTTCCCTTCAAATTTTTTTTGTGGAAAAAGTGCAAACAAATGCCGCTGGTTTTTTTGACTACCACACACAAACAAATGGATGCACATAATTCCATTCTGTATACCTAACACAAGTTAAAGAACTCAGTTTGTATCCATTTGGCTCTAAAAATTAAAAGAATATTCCTATTATATAAAATTTTGGGATAAACCCATTAAGCAGAAATTATTTAAAATGGGAACCAAGGAAAAATAAGGATAATGTCAAATTATGGTCCCATACGTTGTTTGTCGTGGGGGCGATTTCCAAGTAGACTTTAGTTTTCATCCTTCATTATTGGATTTTCTCTAATATACTTATCGTTTTTTAATTTTTGCACACCACGTTTAATATTACTTTTATTTTTTGAGTCAAAAAAATATTTTAATTTTTTAAAAATCGAATATTTCAGTAATTTAAAATTAAAATAACGGTAATATACTTTTTTCCCTGTGTTAGTAGAAACAACAACATTTTTCATAACTTAAAATGATGCTCATGACTTAAAAAAAAAAATAAAAAAATAAAATAAAATAAAAAAATGTGATCTACATAGTAGGACCAAACTTGTTCAACCAGCCCAATTTTAGAATGGACTAATTTTAACAAGAATAAAGCCGTGTTGTCAGAAGAAAATTGGAACAAGTCAAAAATATAAAATTATGGTATGTTTTATCAATTGTTATTATAATGATTGCAACTAATTATATGATCAATGATTAGATTGATTTGTGTTCGGTAGTGAGTCGGATGTGAATTACTTGTAAAGAATTGAGGTCGTTAAATGAATTTCTTGGTAGATGATGTATTTATTCTTTTGAAATTTCACATAACGATACATTGAGTTTACTAATTATGTAGAATTAAATTTACTCAAGAGAGATTTTCATGTAAATGTGAGAAGTTCGACCAAATACACATATTAAGTTTTTCATAGCTTTTTATAATAAATAAAAGGGGAGAGTTAAGAAGAAATCGTGAATTCTAGTAGTTTTTTCATTATTTTAATCTCAAAATCAACATTGTCAACTAGTTAGTTAATCATAGTTTAGTCTACTCTAGAAAGTAGAATAGCAAACAATTTTGTGTTAAATTTTTGTAGTTCAAGTTAATAATAGGATTAATTCGAGTCAATTATCGGTCATATGGTCCTCATGGAAATGATAATCTGAACTCTCTAGGCCCATTTTTACTACAATCGAATGAGTTTTTGACGTCGTTATGAAGAATTGTAGTTATATTTATTGATTTTAGTTAATTCTATTACTATACGAATCTCAAATGAAACCTTTGAATTACTAGAAAGGTTGTTCTTTACCAATGCTCCGTTTCCAAAGCCGAACTGATACTTCGTGAGGAAACAGTTGGTGTCCATGAACTTGATGCCTATAAATCTCTGTTACCACAAATAGCCCACAAAAATAAAATAAAATAAAATAAATGAATAGATCACTTCAGTCAGTTAAGGCAGGACAAGCACAAATAGGTTTATCATTTATGAGAGCTGTGGCGCGAATCGCCGTATCACCGAATCAGGGACAAATTTAGAATTGGATCTAAGATTGAGCTATAAAATTTCAAATCGAGCTACTACGTGGAAAAAAAATTTACACATAAAAAAATGGTTTTTTACCAAAAAAATAAATAAAAAACCTTTAAATAATGTTTTAATGTTTAATAGCTCGACTCAAAAACTAAGTGGGCCATTTGAAGGAAAATTTCAAGAATGGTTGCTCATGGCCCATTCACTGAGTGATAACCCATTAAAAGCTTAAAGCCATTTACATAAATGTTTGGCCCATTTGTTGTGCGCCATAATCTTTGTGTTTATACGTGTTCCGCTTTCATTTTTGTGAGGCAAGCGTGGAAAGAAAGCAACTGAGTCACCTAACTTCTTCTTCTCCTCTTTGTGAGCAGCCACCTTCATTTCTCTTTGTGGGATTCCTTGCTCTTTGTGGGATACACATTTCTTGGGCAACCTCAGTGGAGTATAAGGTTGAGCATAAAGTTTGGAGTAGCCTTGTGGTGTGGATTTAAACCGAGTCCTAAACTTTTGTGATCACGAATGTATTGACTCGAAAATCGAGCTTCCTTAATTAGTCAAGATGTTGTATTGAATGTATGGATAAAAAAGATATTTGACCAATTTATAAGTTTTAAAAAAATACCAAACATTCTCTTGTCATTGTCAAAAATGACCACCATGCCAAAGTTGAAACCAAATTAAGTACTATTCGTGATTTTGGCAGATGTTGCATTAGCAAGATCTGTGCCATTGAACAGGGTGTCAATGTGTCGTGGTAATAAAGCACAACTAGAAACACAAAATAATATTGGGAGAAATAAAAGAATGCAACAAGATTTCTTGACAAGCTTAGTTTTATATATATATATATACACACACACGCACACTATCTATCACTTGTGGCGTGTTTTGTTAATATAAATACTAAATAAAGCATAACTTAAGAGAGGGTTGGGTGTGACTTCCGAAAGGTAACTATATGTCATCATGCCCCTCGCTGGTTGGATTATGGCAAACTCGTGGTCATTGTCTAAAATAGCCTCTGATGATTTCATCATCTAACAATATTTTAGAATCGGATAGTCCATTATAATTGAGATCTCCCATGATCTTGATGCTCGTTCTATTGGGAGTAGAATGAGAAGTTGCTTAGTTGTGAAAGAAACTGGTCTTATTAGTTATATAGTCAAAGAACTCTCAATTAGAAAGTTGAACGTTTGAACAAGGTTGTCTTGTGAGGAATATTCCAATAGTGACATACCCCATAAAGGGTTAGTTTCATTGCAAAGCAAAGATATGAACCATACTTATGGAGACTTAGCGTCCGTTTGGGTCCCTTCCAACTTTTTTGACATAAGTGGGGCTCATGTCTGCCACTTTTCTCATCCATTGGCAGCAGTTTATTTCAGTCAAATAGACCGTTAAGGTAGTTGGACAGAAACATTCTCCAACATATATGTCAAAAGACAAAATTGCCCCTCATTCAATCACCCATATCCACATTTTCATTGATTAGTGGTTGGGAGGGTATTAATGTCATTTAAGTATATAAAGTGAAGTGTACCCTCCATTATTAATGAAAACATTTCCCTTTCATGGTACACGTACGTCCTGAACAACTTGACACATGAGGCCGCTTTTGTTTGAAAACTTGGCAAATAATGAGAATTAATGAATTTTAATGGGGCCAAACGGGGGCTTAAAAACTCCTTGTTACCAAACTTTCCAAATGTATCGATAGGGCCAAACATTGGCCAAACTAATATCCATTTAGGCAAATATGTCCTTGCTCAGTTGCTTCTCTTACTGGATTATTGAAGAACATGGTATACTTATACGAGAAAATACACTCAAAATATTATTAGAACCTAAAATAAGTGAAAGTGACCCGTAAAAATATAGGTTGTTCAATTAGATCGAATACTATAAACTCGGAATGTATTGGTCCATTTAACTCTAAAGATTGAGAGGTACAACGTTCTAGATGAAAATCTGGCTAAGTTTGAAATTTCTTACTTATTCGAAGTGAATGATCACAGTATAATATGAGAAAATAGACACTCAAAAGTCAAAACATTCCATTATTAATGCTGATAATAACTAAGACTTGCATGCCATACTGCTATGCAAAATTAAAACCATATATATCTAACTTGTACCTAAGTCTTATAGCATTCATACAACTTAATATCCATCTGGAGTCTAAAATAGAAATCACCCTGGAAATCGTCTGTTCTAAATGTTGCAATCCCTCTGGCCATGAAGAAATCGCCGGTACCTCCGACTACCGAAAGGTCCCGAGTTTTCTCCGGCAGAGGGTCTGCACCCATGATGTTCAAAGTCCCTTTATACTCAGAAGAGTTGAATGTCAAAGTGTAAGCAAACCAGGCATTGAAAGTGTCCTTCTTGTCATAGAAATAGAAGCCTTGAGCTCGTGCTACCGGCGGTGAAAGAAGATGACCGTCTTCCGTCATAGGATCGTCGAAAATGACCATCATACCAAAATGGGAACCAAGTTGAGTGTCATTTGTAACTTTTGCAGAAGTTGCATTTGCAAGATCTGTGCCATTGAATAGGATGTCATGGTAATAGAGAATGATTCGCTTGCACGGTTCATCTGGTTTTAGTGTCTTGGAAAGGATAGAAACACAAGAGATTGTGAGGATAAAGAGAAGAATGTAACAAGATTTCTTCACAAACTGTATCATGGCTATGGCTACGGTGTAGGTCTGCAGGTTCAACTTGGGAGGAATATATAGAAAGTTTCCATGCTAAAAACCGTACATTATGTCAAAATCGAGAAGGTGAATTTGACGGTAATAGACAGCATTAAAAACGAGAAAGAAGTTAATTGTATCGTCCTACTTGCTCTCATACACTCTCAGTCGAGATACTTTTTGGGTGATCTCGTCCTATGTGATGTTCTTTAACATAAACATATCGAAGATCATTGTAAGGGAAACTCAAGTTTAGCAATTACAGACAAGGCGTCTTTGTCCTTCTTGCTGGTCATATTCTAGAAATTCTGCAGTGAAAACAATGATTGAAATCAGTGTTCAAATCCGTTAACTAACTGATTTTAAAGCTTAAACAGTTGAGGGCGAGAAACTTATTAAAATGTTATCTTCGGCATATCCTCTTATATGAAAGACAAATCAATTTTTTTCCCCAAACAAGCTCAGGTTTGGCATCATAACATATTAATTACATATTCTATTAAAAACATAGATGTGACACATTTATTTATTTAAATGTTATATTCAACAAAACTGAAGAATATAATTTGACGTCATCTTTGTCCTGTTTCATTTTAAGATCCCAAATATTCTTATGCAATAACCCAAGGCTAAAAACAGGAAGTGATTTCATTAGGTTCCAAAGGAAAGGCCATGGTGAAATCAATTAGTCTGTAATTGAGCTCCATTCTTTAAAAAAACTAATTTTTTCAAACTAATTTTTAACACACATTCCCGTAATAAAATAATTTTACAAGTAAGTTTAAAATTTTTTCATACTTTTTAATTACACATTCTCAGAAAAAAAAGCACTATTATAAAGTCGCTCAAACAAATTAACATTGAAGCCGACAAGAAAAATGACATTTTTGTAATATGTAAATAATAACATTCATTAATTACATGTTGTTAAAAGGGATTTATTGCAACAATCAGTAAATGTATATTACCGTTGATTAATTAAATTGAAATTTGACAACATTCTTTAATGCATGTTGTTAATGTGTCCTTTTATAATATTTGCTATCCGCTGTCGTTAATTGCTTAACAACGTGCAAACACTACAAGAAAAAATGTTTTTTGCAACATGTAAACGGCAACATTCACTAATTGCATGTTGCTAAAAGGAGTCTACTGCAACATTCAATAACTATATGTTGCCATTGATTGAGAAAATTAAGATTTAACATTGCCGTTAATTATTTTTGACAATGGGCAATCCACGTTGCCATTATATTCGAACATTGCTGTTAATTAATTTTAGCAACGTTGCCGTTAATTAGTTTTGGCAATGGGCAACCACAACAGACACATGAACATTGCAATAAGTCGACAACAATGTTTTCTGATTGTTGCAAAATGTGATTTTTAGTGTAGTGAAAGTATGTTGTCATCAACATTGCCACCATTTGCTCATTGGTGTCCATTACTTGTTTTAACAATCCAACCAAACCCAGTCCAATATAGTTAACTTGCTAATTAACCACACAATTGACGAATGGCATTGTAGTCAGAGCTAAGAAGGTTTGTTTGAGCCCATTTTTTGGTTAATAGATTTTGGAATATCGATCCTTTTGAAGAATGTGTCGTTAAAAAATAAAGGAAAATTTTGAACTTACGTGTAAATTTATTTTATTGCTTTTACTACTATTGTTTTACCTTGAAGATAATATCTCATTTGTAGTAACTTGTTCATTATCTCATGTTTCGAATTGCAGGTTTCTTGCTAAAGAGTACCCCGCATAAGATAAACAAGTTTCTTCAGACAAGATGGGCAACTGTCTAGTGGGTACATTTGGCTTAACATCTTAAACAAATATTTCACAGAATTGTATTTATTTATGAAGCGCTGAAAAAATCACAATTACATGGGCATAAATAGGGAAAAAGAAAAAAAAAGCAACAATTGAAACGTTGAGCACTTGATAATCTAGCATTGAAACTATCTGCTTACTTAGGAGTGTGGAATTCGCAGATAGTTCATCTCATCTTATATTGCACAGCATAACTGAAGTTGAAGAGAGTAAGAACCATCTTTTCAGTGAAACCAAATGATGAATGGGAAGAATGGGCAGTTAAGCAATATAATAACAACAATAACTATATAGATACATATTGAGTTATGAAATCTCCAATTTGATGTGTAGAGTGAGTAACAGAATATTCTGAGAAGGAAAAATCAAGATATCCCAAGTTAAACTCAGACTCTGGAAACAATGATTTAAAGTTCTATTTTCAACAATAAACTATTTCTAAAATTTGAAAAAGGATTCTGT